ATATATAAGACCAACGCTGTTATAGTTGTTCTCATAGACTTCATTAAAATGATGCACTAAATAAGTTTAATTATTTGTTTCATTCATTGTTCGCATATAGTGTTACATAAAAGTACGATGAGACTGATTTTATGAGGAACTGTGATTTTGTGGTCAAAATGCGTGGACAAATTTGATCGGTGTCGTGACACAATAGAATTGAACGGACAAACAACTGCTTGACATGGCAGCAAGAATTCAGACTGTATTCAGGCCAAGAGTATGTGCTAATCGATTCATCAAGAAACATCAAGTTTATTGGAAAGTGAAATGAGTTTCAGAATTGTGGGACATTTTCAATGAAGTGCATTATCAGGCTACAGAATTAGAAATATGCGCAATGCAATCTTCATGCTGATTATATCGAATAGTTGTTGTACCAAATTGTAACTGTATACGTACGCTAATGAAATGAGAACTTGAATATGAAACGAAATGACGAAATTTCATCGTTTCTTTCAATAATAAACTGATATACAATATTGAGATGTATTGGAGTCAATTTCTTCATTATTTTACAACTATTTAAAATATGAGTAAGGAAAATGAGTTCATTTAACTTGTAAAATGCAAATTTTTTTCGCATTTTCCATCATCTTTTCGTTCAACAGAAAATTCAATGCAGTTTTTTTTCCATTTTAGTGTAGTGATATGTGAAGAGAATAAAACATTTGAATAAAAAACACGTAATATACAGAAGAAATTGTTTAAATGTGAATCACTGATGAATTTTGTGTTTGACGAGATGGATAGGTGTGATCTGACGATGAGAAAATCAGCAAGCAAAATCTTTGTCTCATTTCTTGATGGAAAGAGCAGGCAAAACAAAAGTAGAGTAGTCATCATATTGCTCTTAGGAATGTTGCAATTTTCACTTTTATTGTTGTTGAGATAATGGGAATAGATAAGGATGAAAATTTAGAAGATTCATTGGATGTTTTAGATTAGTTTGCTGTTGAATTTCTTAGTTTTTCGACGGAAAAATAATTTTCAAATGTGATCATAATTTTATTATCAGATTGAAGCACAATCCGCCAGAATCCCTTCGTATTGGATGCTATTCATATTTGATTAAAACAGAAGGAAGATCGCATCTTTTGTGTGCTGCGAAAACGGAAATCTTAAAAGTTTCAAATTTGTAAGATTTCAGCTACAACAAATGTTGTGCTATGCATTCGAAGTGACAAGAGTTAGATCGTTGTCGGTGAATGTTCCCACGAAACAAAATTCTTGCACAGTTTGAGATTTTCCGATAAGAATAAACAATTGAGAAAAGATGAACGAGTGTATTTTTTGCTTAGTTAAAAAATTCAATAAAACAAACTCAGCAGTTTTGATATTATGATCGCTGAAGAATGTGTTTTGCTTTTACAAGGGATAATTAAATATGACGAATTAATGGAATGAAATGACTACCGTTGATATAAGAAAGCATTCATTAGACATTACACGAATTTTAGAATCAAACATTGATCGCTGCACGAAATATGTACTGTCAAAATGTTGAATGTAAAACTAACTTATGAGCCTCATTTGAGAGTGAGGAATAACTGAGGAACGAATAAATTATACATTTAACAAAACAGTGGTCACGTCACATTCATCGACACACTTTCTATTGCACTTACAAGTCAACAGATGTACTTCGAGTGAGAAATGATTTTGGGAGCGTTATTTCGCATCACCAGCGAGAACAGCAATGATGTTTATTATTCAATGAGCACGTTAGTGGTTTGACACCTGATTTGAAAGCCTTGAGGTTCAATTGGATAGAGGAAAAGTCCAACTTTTTAAAGCAACATGAATGACTTTAAGGTATTTTAAGTGTAATCATTAATATCAGTTCATATACTGCAATTGCCAGATGATGCTAAAATGATTTTATGAATTTAAAAGTGAAAGAACTTTTAAGGAAATTAGTGCAGTTGGGTGTATGCGATACGACAATCAAACAGAATTATTATGGAGGTTTGCTTGCATGCACTCTCCGTCTCGTATTGCGATTTCATCGCTCATTTTGCATACCGATAAATCTGGTGTCCATCCGAGTTTGTTTCTTCATATGCCTATTTCTTTATTGTTCTTTCTTTCAGACATTACAAAATGGATAAAAATCACACGACTCCGCCCCTACAAAAAAATTAAGAAGAACCGTTTATAAGATGTTTGGAATGAGGAGTGTTATCATTCTGTTTTTCTTCACTCTCCTATCATGCAGCAGCACTCATACAGTATCATCTTGTTAACGATTTGTTGTGTTGTTAATGCCGTTCCATATCCAACTGAAAGCAGCAAAGAGGTAGTTTTAAATAGCATTTTGAGGAAGAGAGATTAATTTGTTCGTTTGTGCTTTTTCATTCCAAACAACTCATCCTTCCTCTATTTGAATTCTCATTCTGATTTGAAACAACGCTAATGATTGATTATGATGATGTTTATGATCTTACTTCCCTTTTTCAATGAAGCCAACCCTAAATCAGCTCAAAATGAAAAAAAAATCTAAATTCTTTATCAGTACAAAGGAGATTCATTTGTTCACACTGGCATTCGCTGCTATTATTTGAATCAGTCATAAATTAAATAATTTTGCAGGGATCGCTGAAAAATGAAACGGGACAGGGCCATTGGTGGGGGGGACCGGGATGGGGTGGACCGGGATGGGGGGGACCGGGAATGTTCCCACCACCGCCTCCACCACCCCCACCTCCAGGCCCATGGCTTCCACCACCTTGGTGGCTTATAGATGATGGTATTTCTTTTTTGATTGGAGTAGGAAAATTGCCTTCCTATAGCAACACAATCTAAAATCTACACTTTCTATTCTGGTTAGGTGGAAATGTAAAGTAATGCTATGGTTTTAGCGAACGTGTGCACGCTGGACGCAACCATCTTAGTGGTGATGGGCCCACCATTTGTTCCACCACCGAACACGGGTGCAAGTATAGATAGTGGTCCTGAAGTTGGATTCGCTCCCCCACCACCACCACCAGGACCGTGTCCAGGACCATTCGGCTGTGGCAATAGCATACGTATGAGGTGTAGTGATGTGGCAACAATCGACGAAGCGGCTTGTGCGCTGTGCTGTAAACATGCGAGTCGATTTGGTGGTTTCAGCAAGGTGAGTGAGTGAGTTCATTTTTGATGCCGCTGCTTGAACTCATATAGCGTGGTGTTCGCATTGATTTGGAATCGGGAATGGGGAATGAGCATTTTGAGTTGGAACATTTCAAGTGCTTTACAGAAGTTATTGTGCTTCTGAAACTGCTGTCTTCTGTTATTGTTGTATGGAATGCAAAATATAACGGTGACTTAAACGTTCAGGAAAGCATTCACGGTATCTTGATCGATTCGAAAGCGCTCTCTTGTGACAATGGCAACAATTGTGGTGCCAGCCTGAGAAAGGTGAATTGAGCAACTTCTTTATGAAACATCTGATCAGAAACTAGAGTTTAATGTCATCGAATCTCGTATATTAACTCGTTTTGTATGTTTTTTGAAAATGACAAGAATACAAGTCGATAAAATACATTTAATGCGACGTGCAAGAAAGTGTAAAATGAAATGAAAGAATTGCAGAAGCGCTCAATTGGCCCAGGACCATGCTGTAACAATCGGCCACCGCTACCAGGTTGTACAGCTTACTCACTGCCATGTCCAACCACGAAATGTATGTGCTGTGGACCCCGCCGTCCTTTGCTGCCTCCACCACCTCCTCCGCCTCCACCACCAGTATGGGGACCACCAGCATGGGGACCACCAGCATGGGGACCATCAATCGGAGAAGGTCCTCCACCACAGCCACAATACAGCATTGATCCAAGCCAATATCGCCCACAGTAAGTGAAGCTCAACGAATGAACAAGCAAATCAGTAGATCGTGCATCGCACTCTCGGTGAATTTTACAAATATTTTGAAATCATATATATCTATTTGGATTTTCGATTGTCATTACTACGATCTGTTTGTATCTTCTAAAATTTAAAACGTATTACCAATAAACGAGAGGAAAATATATTTATTTCTTACAAACAACACACATTCGCGCAATGAATGTTCTAACTAATGCGTGGAACATTTAGCAATAATAACTCGAGTTAATGAACATGAAGTAAGTTTACATTCCTCGAATCGCACATCCTTGAAAGTATTCACATTAATTAATCGGCCAATGTTGCAGTAACTCGTTCAATTTGTCCACTTCCGAGGCATTCGTCGTTACGATAAAAAACGCAACTCTTAAACAATTTGAAAGATTACTTGAAATTTCAATAACACGATCGATTTTGAAACGAAAATATTATTAACGAATGCATGAAAATCAACCACAAACAACCAAATATAATAATTGTAATGAATGGTGATATCGCTCGATAGATGCAAAACTAAGTCAACCATTTGTAATCAAATTTTGTTGAAAATGGATCAGTTCTCAAACGAAGTAAACAAATAACTGAATAATGTTTCAAGAAACAAAATATTCAACGAAAATGAGTGTTTCAAGCAATCACTCGAAAGGATGAGTATTCCTCAAAACAATATGCAATACCTGTCCACTTGCAGCAGCTCTTATTGGATTTCTCGGTGTCACCTGTACAGATCCGTCATTCAATCTAGTGACTGTGCACTGGAATGGCGGATGCGACCTTTGACATCGAAATTCAATTTCTGCACAATCTTAAAGAAATGAACTCAATTCGAAGGCTGATTTGTGACAATCAAAAGTGAACGTTAGCAGTGATTAAAAAATCAGTAAAGATCTATTTGTAGAAATATGCACATCATGAATACATGCATTAATCAACTAGGTTGGATAAAGGAAGTCTAACAATGCTCAGAATTTGACATGTGTTTAAAATAGATATCACTGATATGACATTATAAAAGTATTCTGAACCAACCACCACAATGCATTAACAGTGATTCAGCAATCCAGTGAGGTTCAGAAATGATGAATTTGGTCGCGAATAATGCTGCATTTAATGAGCCTTCACACTGAACGCAACAAAACTGATTATGAAGTTAATGCATTAAAAAACAACAAATTTATTTAACTGATGAGCGATCGAGCACATACGATTAATGCTTCGAAAGCGTGATACGATTAATCTCTAAGATAGTTTCAAGCAAGTAATAAAATAATCATCATCGATGAATGATAAAAAACAGCATGGAGCATTGGCAACTCATAAGCTTACCGATGTACGGAAAATATGGGTGTTTTAGCCCTTTGCAAGCCTTAGAGTGGATGCAAACTTGCGCATAAGTGAGCCTAAGGTCAATGATGCCAAAGTTCCGGAGCCAAAAACTTCTTTAGCTTTCTCAAAAAAAAAGAAAACCACGGCGACGTTCAATAGCCGGAAATTCTGATACCAGAGATGGGCAATAGCACGCTATCGCTAAGTTTCGCTGCGTAGCGACAGCACACTACTGCCCATCTTTAATTGACACAATAGTTTTTCTTCTGGAACCGGAGTGGAGCAAAGCAAATTTCGAGACTGGAGCTGAAGCCGGAATTTCAAGAAAGGCGGAGCTGGAGCTGAAATTCTAAAAATGCGGAGTTGGAGCCGGAGCCGACAATTTTAAAAATGAAGAGCTGGAGCTGAGTCAATTTTTTCAAATTACGTATTACTGCCTAAGGTTGAGTCTAATCGTAAGCCAAGAGCGGGCCTAATATGAGCTTGTACATCCGTACTACCTTAGAGATTGCCTCGAATATCAGAAGTGTTCAATAACATAAAACTAACCACCCAAACTGTTTGTGTTTGATAATCTAATGAAGCAACAAAAAATCCAAAGGCTGTTTGAATGAGCTTTGGCGATAGTCGTACACGTTTACCTAGCGTAAAATGATGTACACCATTATGCTCAGCGATTACATCACCGTTGTGTACATTTCGAATGAATCCTTTGGTTGGCTCGATATACTGAAGTAAGTAATGAGCATATATCACTTTTTATTTTTTTAAATTTGATCTACCTGATCGAGGAACGCATTGAAGTTTTTTCGTTTTCCAATAAAGCACACTCCCATACTCTGAAATTCAAGTTTTTGTGCTTGATAGATACTGATCAAAACTGAATGAGAAGTATTCTCTGCTCTTTTTCAAATAATTGACCTTAGGGGAACTGATAATTGAACAAACCTCACGCTTATTGATTACTTCATTGAGCTGAGCATCGATTGCAATTTGTTTGATTTGTGGTTTTGTTAATGAACCAATCGGGAAAATTGATCGTTTCAGCTGATCTTGTGTTAACGTCGAGAGGAAATATGTTTGGTCTTTGAGTGGATCAACTGCCGTATACAACCGTGCTACTTCAAATAAATGAAGCGAGTATTGCACAAAATTTTTATGATTTAGGCTTGACATTTAGAGTACAATTTGTTGAATAACAAAAATTGTTCATAAATCTCATCACTTCATAAACAATCAATGGGATAAGACAAGATCAACCTCATTTCTTCACCTGATTTTGTGGATCGATTTTGAAGTAAATTGCCGAGATTTGTTCGTGCAAAATGTCCTGTCGCCACAGCATCGGCATTCAATTGTTTGAACGCAAATTCATGAAGATAATTAAACTTGATAATACGATTGCATAAAACATCCGATACAACCGTGCATCCTTTACGATAATTCTCCAATAAATCCCTCAAAATTACTCTCACCAAAACGTCATAAGCACAATACCGGAATGACATATATTAATACAACTTCAATTCATACTTATTACAAATGGATTATTCACATATGTGCAAACTAACTGGAACACCTCACTCCAATACTGACGTGTGAAATCGACAACATGGAATTGAATGCCTAAACGTTTACATATTTTCATCGCATCTGCCTCATCTCTTGTTCGCGGACAATCACTGATTCCTTCTTCCACATGGTTCCAATTCACCTATTGTTTGGAAAAGAATCGATTATGAATATTACATGATAAGAGAGAATCTACTGCAGTGGCGTACGCAGAGAAAAGTTCTGGAGAGAGGGTAGGGTGTCCAATTTTACTTACGGGCTTGGAAACTTTCATTTTTTGCACTTCCTGGAATTGAGTGAAGAATTACCACAGAAACTGTTTAATTTATCTGGAATGTTATCGATAAGTTTTTTTCAGATCGTTTTATTTTGGTTGTAGCAATGCAACTAATCTATGAGAGAGTTAGAATAATCGGGTAGCAGTGCAAATGACAATAACGAAAACAGATCTTTGCAAAGCTGACGTGAAAGCAAAAGCGTTTCATTACTGAATTTGCATCAATGGACCGTTAAAGACATCAGCAAAGAACAAATATTTGAACCATCAAGTTGCGTTAGTCTTGATTCAGGTTCTGTTTTTTCAGTATTACTTTCCAAATCAGATTTGAGTTTTTGAAGAGTATTTTCATTGACGATAATATTCATTCCCAGAAGTTTTTTTTTCATTTCTGCGATTGTGTACACATGAGAGATAAATAACTGCACAGTGCACATAAATCGCATGCGTACACACTTAACTGCACAAGCGTTAAACTTCCCACTGGTGATGCCTAAGCTTCAGAGCCATAAAATGTTTCTAGCTCCATCAAGTAAAAATATCACAGCAAAATTCGGTAATCAGAACTAAGAACTACACGACAGTTTTTCCAGATCCGGGTCGCTCCGGAGCCGGAGTGGAGTTTTAACAGAGGAAGTTTCGGTGTTGGAGGTGGAGCCAAGGTTTTAAAAAATGCGGAACTGGAACTAAAGATGGAGCCAAAATTCTGAAAACGGCGGAGCTCGAGCTGGAGGTAAAGCAAAAATGTTGAAAACGAAACTTTTTTTCGAATTAGACATCGCTGCTTCTCACACATACTGCTACCTTCGATAAATCCCAAGCAGTCCATATCAACATTCAAAAGATTCAGCCAAACATTCATCACAAATATCAACCAAAGCTATCATCTCAAAAAGTCACAGAAAACGAACACGCAATCCATTTGATCTGCACACCTCACCTTTATTGATAAGTGCCCAGTTTGTGAGATGTCCAAAATTTCATTAGCAACAACGATAAACTTTCAATTCAACTATTAACTTCTGCTAACAAAATTTCTCCGTAACATTCGATGATCTCATTCTGCCTTCTTCGACTTACTGTCAGATAAGTCGCATTTTTGTCAGACGATTGCAAGTGCTGTTTGAAAAACTGATCTATTGCCTCAACATGGGATTTCAGTAGGGCTCTAAATTTTTCTTTATTGTTTTCTAGATTCACCTTCTTCTTCATCGACTTGAAAAAGCTCTTGTGGTTTCACAGTGATAAGCCCTCTTTCCAACAAAAAATAACAGTCTTGATTACGGGCATAATTGTTTTCGATTTTCTTTGCCTTGATGTTTTCTGTTCGTATCAGCTTGTTTAACAACATTCTCCACTTTTTTTGGCGTTCTGCTAAAAAAATTAGTTAACTTTCGAAAACATTTTTTGTTTTTTCCTTTACTTTCATGGTTCCGCAATTTTTCAGTTCTCAAATGCGTTTTCACTAGAACATTTATGGTTACACGCGACCGTTTTCTGAAATCAAAAGCAGATGCAAAAATTTTGCAAATTCTACAATACATTCATTTGGGCGTTTGAGAATATGCTAACCAGCTGAATTCCTGAAGTCGTTTATGTTGAAATTTGAGATTTTGTTCGAGCACCGGAGATCTTTCCAGAATATCAGGAATCCAGAAATTTTTCAACGCGTCATATCTCTTGACGTGTATACTTCTCTTCAAAAACGCTACGTCGTAAATTGAATTAAGCATGCGCGATTTGAAAGAGACGGCTCACCTTCTCATTTATCGATATGTTAATTTGATTTATGACCACTCATATTAACCGAAACAGTCCAATCCCTTTGTTCGCAATAGATTCTTCATTTGATAATTGCAAAATCATTGTTTTTCCGCCCCTCGCAAAATGGGAAAGTAATCGTCAGTTTGTTTCGCAGTGGTAAAGTAAAACATACGCAGAGCATTGGTAGATGCATTTGTATGAGATGATCATACTGATACACTGAGTGAGCTTATATAAGGAATGAGTATGTGACAATATCAGTCGAGTGATGCCAGAAGTAAATGTGTGGTAATATAAAGAGATCATAAGGAAGACATGAAGTGAGGTGAATTGTCTCTTTCCTTCCATTCACTCAGTCTACCTTTTCAGGGAGGATTGATCCTCCCAACCCCCTCCCCCCTTCCCACTGCATACGCCGCTGATCTGCTGTAATTTCCAGGCGAATATGAAAAAAAATTCGAGGAAAGCAGATAACTAGGATTTATTTCTGATCAGTTCATCATCCAGTTGTTTTTTGGTGCTAGAGCCGTCATTCAGTGGTATAAACAAGCTTAACATTTGACATGTCACAAAAAGTGAATCAAAAGAATCAAAAAGCAAACCATATAAACGCCGATAACCTCAACACCGCTACGTTTCAGTAAAAGCGCTGCAACCGCACTATCGATACCTCCGGAAACTGCACAAACAACTCGCCGCACCACACACATTTGTCACAGAATTGAAATCAATCGCACACTAAATCTAGTATTAATCATATGAGTCCCTCTCACAACAACAACCACCAAATTTGCATTATAACCTATACCTGTTGAATGATTGATGGTGCACTTGAAACCGTTCAATTTTTATTCGACTGCCGTTCCAATGACAAATAGACAAATGCACTTGTAGACCCTCTTTATTTTAATCGCTTACTGATTGAATGTTGCTTCATTGACGACAAGCACCTAATGCACAAATATTTTCATTAAGTGATCGGCAGTGTTGCGGTGTTTGATGCTATCAATAAGATCTTTTACACTATACGAATAACTGAACCGTGCAAAGTTGTGTTGTGCATAAAAATATGCACACACTTCCGCAAATGTACCATTCGAATATAAAATGCGAAAGCGATGGGAATTTTGATTGAAGTGGGTAATTTCTTTTCATTAGGATGGAAAATATTCGAATGTCTGGAGAATTATGGTCATGTGGAGAAAATTTTGAAGTATTTGGAAAGTATTACAAATGCATCATTGTTTAGCAAATGTTCGCATGCAAGCTGTTCGTCGTCAACAATAATACACATCAAATATCCTACATATATGTATCTACGTTTTTCATGAGATATGCCATCTCAATGAATTCATCAATGTATGGATTACTTTTTGAGGATTAATATATACCATTCAATGAGTGAAATTGTAACGGTTATGGGGGAACCAATACAACTGACTTCGATAAGATTCATTGACAAACCATTTATTCATAGTAAAGGCAAAAATCAACAACAAGTTAAACGGAAATGTGCATCAAACAAAACCTCATTGTTTTAAACTACTAAATTTGGAAGCGCACCCTTTCATTGCACTAAAATTACTTCAATTATTTTATTTTAAGATGAAATTTACAGTGTGAACAAATATTTCCCTGACTATAAACATTTCCTCCAACCTGAAACATCTTCATCGTTCAGTATGACAGACAGTAATATCACTACAGCACTACTGAAAGCTATGGAATAACAATCTCAATACTCTTCGAAAGGAAATGATATGAGACAAAACGATGTAATGAACAGAAGAAAAAGCATGAGCAACTCAACCATAATCACTAGGCACTGATGGATATACAGATACCGAAGATGTGGATTACTTCTAAAATATCTCTTGACCTTATGAATGAACCTTTCCAGGATCAACTGCTCTTGTTGGGTTGTTGACTTCCAACAGGATCTTCTGCCTTCTGATCACTTCTGTTCGATTTATTGGATGTTGATTCTGCTGTATCCATCTGCAAAAATACTGAACAAAATTAACATGAGATATTAAAGTATCAAATAAGTAAGGTACTAAATAAATGACTGAATTATAACGCTAATGAAACAATCGCAGACGATTGCGCACGATATTAATCGAAGTAACCATTAGCAAACCGATTCGATTTCAGCCAGCCGTTCAACCAATCTTTTACGCTCGGACTCTCGTTGTTCTTTAACAGCCTCTAAGAACAACTTTTGCTCTTCCTCTTCAAGCTGCAAATCATCAGTAGTGTATGTGCACCATTACATTTGTTTGAACACCGAACCTCAGTAAAGAGGAAAAAAAGTACGTTAATTTTTTGTATAATAATGCAATAAGTATGTTATTTTAAGAACATATAATACAAATACAAAGCTTCTAAGATACCTTCAGGAAGGCTTCTTTTGCATTCGAATTTTGCTCCAACATCTTCTTAAAATTACTGCGGAAACCATCAGTCAATGATGTTTCATCTGAATAACCGTGCATCGCCTCTTGCAATGCGGCCAAATCGGAAAGTCGCACCACCTGAAGACAATAAATAAATGTCAAATTGTCACAAATGAATAAAAGTTTTAAAAAACCTTTTGCTCATCCCTCCTTTCGAACGGTCTGAAATATTTCCACATACGATCGAGTTTCTCTTGTTCAACTCGACTGACTGCCTAAAATGCAGCATAATATAATAACAGCACTTGCTGTACTATTATTACAATATTCTGAGAAGAATCCGTATCATAATACGCCTCCGGTCGATCAAGGATCAGGAAACAAAAGGAGACATGAACAATCCTAAAGGATTGAATAATGGTTCTCCTTCGAATTTTCAATAGAATGATAAACTGCATATTCAATCGAACGAAAAATAAAATTAAATTTTGCGTTAAATGACTAAATAATCAACCGGATGCTCTTGAAGTATTTTTTCAGCTTCAAATTTCTGGGGTCGATCGAATTCCAAACTTGCTTGTAACTCTAGCTTTGCTCGCATGACCTGTGATTTGAATGCCATCATTAACAACGCTAAAGTATTCCACTCACATGAAAAAATCCATCAAACCTTTTAAAACTTTACAATAAAGAATAGGAACAAAGTGAAAAAACTACTTCTAGCGCTTCACGGAACATCAATTTTCCTTTTGGCATTTTCTCCTCTGGCGGCTCATAAAACCCATATTCCCATACCGGATCATTTCGATGCAACCATTCACTTTCCCATGACGGCAAAGGTCTAAAACGTCAATGAGAAAAATAACACGGAAATACTAATCACTGATTAGGTATTCTATTCTGACGAATACCGTCAGTACATTTTTTCGGTGAATTATATCCTAAAACATCACGAGGCAGAGGAGAAAGAAGAAAAAAAAATGTAGCAAAAGAAAACAAATTTGGATAAATTAAACTTTGAAGAAGTCCATCGCTCCACCGGCTCAATCGAACGAATAGAAAATTTGTTCATGTTTTCTATTAATTTTTCATCTTTAGTTTCTAATTCCTGAAATCCTTCGTTTATGTAAATGTAACTTTTTAATCATTCATACTTGATGTCAAATTAAGAGTTGATAAAATACGGGCAACAAAGGAAAACCCATAGAGCCCACCTTTTTAACTTCAACATTCTTTTGGGCGTTATCAAAATATTTCTTCTCGGTGGGATATTTTGGTGCAGCAACCGTCACCTGTAATATTATGATTACATTTTCATAGGTCGTGAGGCACATGAAGTAAAATTCTAACTGCATGCAAGCAACTGATAAAAATATCAATCAAAGGAACAAGCAACCTCGCCTTCGTCTATCTTTTCGGTGTGTTTGACGGCTTTATCTATTGACTTCTTATTCACTGAACGGGTTAACGAACCAAAAATCCTTTTCATTATTGCATCCGCACTACGGCACACACAATCAGTGTGCTTCGCAGGAATGGCTTTTCATTCAATATTGAAGACGGTAGGGACCTACAAAGGATATCTCTTATCACAACTATGGAATCAAAAAAACTCAGCCACGCGCTCAACATGGCTATGCGGATGGGATTTTAGTAGACTATGAAGAGCAGCCTTTCAGTCACTGACAATCCCTCTACGCCACTAACTGCTTCGAAGAACATCTTGTAGACAGACATACACGCAAACAGACGTACGTGCTTGCGAGCTCGGGTCTACGACAATGTGCCACTCCGACGATTTGCGACAATGTGCCTCTTCATATCTGATCGTCGTGGCTTGAACGATGATACAGTTGAATCACGAGTTTACATGTGTCCCTTGCTCGGAAACACCATGTTTTGTTGTTATCGTCAAGTTTAGCAGAATCTTGACTTTCAGAGCGTTACGTATGTTGCTGAGGGATTTTGCTTAGCTCAAGAGATATTAATGGTTTTTTGAATGAGCAGAGAAGCGTAATTTTTTGAATCGTTACTTCCAAGGATAAAAGCTTTATTTAATTAACATTATCCATTCAATTACAAGCGTATCAAAAAAGAATCTTAAGGAACTGAAATGAAATGAATGAATGATCAAAATTATTCCAACATTTACAGCATATCGTGCGTTAACGTAAGTATTAACCGATCAACGACAACCGAATATATCAGAATCGATGTGCGCTTGCATGCGCGTGTTGCATTATGATGCGTTTGTGTCAGTAACGAATTAATCATACCATAAAGGCTACCCTTTATAACATAATTCCTTGAAAGTAAAATCTAAATCTCCTGATTCCTAAAACATGCAGCAAAGAGAGCATAAATATGCAAAATTATCTGAACGATATTATAAACAACAAAAAAAACGAAAGATGCACATCTCTGAACTATCGATCATCGAAGTTTGAAACGGGAAAAAGTACTCCAAATATTTGCTAATCACCAAATTGCACTCGTAGAATGGAAAACATTCGATAGCCATTCAGTTGGTAAAATTAATTGCTATATCTTTCGTCGCGATTTAGATATAGATTCCTTTCGTACTTCAACTTATTTCAGACAGTTTTCTAATGTCGTCAACAATTTCATTAAATAACCTCAAATGAGGTATTATCAGAAACGAAAATCATGCGTAAAATGAGTTAAACCAGGCCCTCCCATAAGAGGTTACCGCCCTGGCACCCCCAGATTACCCATTTTTGGATAATTTAGAGGTGTCAAGGGGTTAATGAAAGGATCAGGAAATCGGTTCTGACGTTATGCGCGGAAATAGTAAATTATTGTAGCTGGAGAGGGCGGTAATGACGGCCTATCAGAGCACTGAAGAGGGTAATGGAGTATCTGAGCGTGGGGACCGAGCCCACCGAGTCAAATAAAAGCCATCATCGCACACACATACACATTCCTTGGTTGACACACGAAATGACGATACTATATTAGGTGTTTGGGCATTGTCCATAGCATTTCAGAGAGCAACAATGTAGAGAAGCGTAAAAGCGTTGCAGTTATTCGGTGAGGTAAGTATGAACGAACAAACGTTCTAAGCGATCACAACAAACATCTGAAAGCAGTCACTGAAATCGCAAGAATCCGGTCGTTATTTGCAATCACTGTTCGATACGGAATAAACCAAACCACAAAAAATTGCGAACGAAAAGTCAGTGGATTCATAATTCAAAAAATGCTCAACTACAATAAACTGAATGTATTCGCATAGTGTACAATATGCAAGATAAAACTTCCCAAATGGCATACTAATGAATGAATCTTCGCAAGTCAATAAGACACTAAATAAAAGATAAATACATCGATGTAACAGCAACAATTAATTCACATTCTGTCCATTCATCAGCTCCACTCAACTGCCATCAACCTCTATACACAAAAAACAATCATTTATGGTAATAAATACATTTATAATATGTCGCAGACAGATTTCACTGCATTATGCACCCTCTTTAGGTGACTTCTTTTGCGTACTCGAAGTCAGCTGACTATCGACGTCCTCCTTGGTCGACTTCTTTTCATCCTTAGGTTTATTCCACGATTCCAGACCCTTAGGCAATGTAGTATCTTCATCAATGCCACCAGTTCCCTCGACGAACTCCTCATATGTATGTTTCTCGGCAAACGGGCGTGGGCCCAACAATTCAATCATATCTTCTCGTGCCAAGATCTCCTTTTCTAACAATCGTTGTGCAACCTCAAACAATTTGATTATTTCAAACGAACGCTCTCAACAAATCAACACTAGAATGAAATTCAAATTTTGTATGAAAAAAAGAACAATAATTGCCACCCCGTCCGTTTAAATCAACACATCGAAATACACTGATTATTCTTCTACCTGTTTACTTAAGGTTTTTCACCTTCACCAAAGTCGAGCACAATAAAAATATAATGAAATGCGAACAAACAAATTTATACTACCCGTTTCCAAAACAACGCAATTCGAGTGAAGTAATTTTACAAAAAGACCACAATAAAAAAGATAAATGGATCGAAGTCGAACAGATACCTTTTCAATATCTGGCTGTTTCGACAGCAATAGCTCCCTTGTTCTTGTCAATGCCGAATTCACCAACTCCCGCACCTGTAAACATATTGAATTGTAATGAACAAAATCAATGCTCAAGTTCAAATTGAATATTTGAAAGCCAGTAAAGCGAACGAGGGTCATTTGGAAATAAGGCAAACATCGTCATATCAACATTTAAGAACGATCGCAATAAAGGAAGCGAGCAAACAACAAACAACACACCTCTTGATCGATTAGCTGCGCAGTTGCTTCTGAATATGGCTTATCGAATGACATCTCACCAGGTCCGGCCGTTTGAAATGATAATGGTCCGATTTTGCGACTCATTCCAAACTTGACCACCTGAAAACAAACCAATCAACCGCCTTATTGAACTCATCCAATTATGTAGACGTCCACACCATACTGCTTACCGAACAGGCGAAAAGGCGAACGAAACCCAAAATTATTTCTTTTAAAATCAATGCAACTCAAGTAATAAGATACAAATGTTAACCTGTGCATACGCCATTTGCGTAATCTTCATGAGATCGTCTTGAGCACCAGTTGTAATACGTCCGAAGAAGATCTCTTCTGAGACACGACCACCTAACGTCATACACATTCGGTCTAGAAGCTGTTCTTTCGAATACAGATACTGCTCTTTCGGCAAATATTGCGCATATCCTAGTCCCTTACCGCGTGGGATTATTGAAACCTGCAACAATAATGAGTCAGTTGATCATCGCTGCTCATTCCTTAAATTTTGCAATTGCTTAAGCACTTTTCAAGCTGCAAATTAAATCTTGAAATTACGACAACAATAACAATAATATTGTATTAATAATAATATAATCACAACAGAATGAGAGAATAAATGAAAACCTTGAGTAGAGGATCAGCAAATTGAAGAAACCATCCAGCGACAGCATGTCCTGCTTCGTGGTATGCAACAGTTTTCTTTTCTTCCGGTTGTAATACTTGACTTTTCTTTTCCATACCAGCAACCACCCGTTCGATGGCCTTCATGAATTGAGTTCACATTATTCGAGAGAAAGATATATACCTTCACCAAAACTACTCCAAATACTCACCTGCTCAAAATTTTTCAAAGTGATCTCTTCACCTGCATCACGTGCCGCAACAAGCGCAGCTTCATTACAAATATTTGCTATATCGGCTCCTGACAAAAAACAATTTTAAAATGTATTAACATTCAAATGAACATAACGCTTATGCCACTAATGACATTGCTTCAGTTAGTGTCGTCCTTCCAAGACAGCATTATATTGCTTCATGTATATCATCAATAGATTCATGAAAACAACAAAATGAAAATAGACAAATTACTTAGAACTTGATTAGTCGGCTAGATAATCCATTTCGTTCTGCTTAGTTTGCGTACAACATCGATTTTATTTTTCGACTGAGTGATCACGAGTTATTTTCGCTTTTGAAGATACACTCATCACTTTGATAAGCGTGCTCTTTCAGGGAAACGAAAGAAAAAAGCTTCTAACATAAATAGAACTAAATACACAAGAGCACTAGGTGAACCTGAGAAGCCAGGCGTGAGCGCGGCGAGTTTTCTGGATAGCTCCGTTTTGTTGAGGCTTGTTTTTAGTGGATTCAAATGAACACGGAATATGGAGGCCCTGAAATGTGCTTCAATTGTAATCTTTATATCAACAACTACGCTAACGAATACAAAGTACTTGACTCAAACTACTATAATTTTGCATTCAAATGACCTCTGAATATGTCCAAAATTATTCATCATCAACTGTCATCGAGTCATAACAAAATTAATATCACACTGTTAGCAGAGTACACAACTTCACTAAATCAGATATAATAGAAACAGGGAAAAATAAATCAACAACTGAAAAATAAAATAGAAAGAGAATGCAGCAACCAAAGAAATAGTACAAATGAAATGCTACAAATTACAGATAACTACTAACCGTCCTTTGATATCAGGAACAGGTACGTAGATTTGCCGATCGAAACGACCGGGTCGAAGCAAGGCCGGATCAAGAATGTCGACCCTATTTGTGGCTGCTACTACGATAACTGACGATTCATCAGTTGTGAAACCTAAAACATTCACATTGAATAAACGCCAGCTGAATGCTGATGCGTTTAAAAACATCGGAAAAATATGCTGCTCATTTGGAAGAACCATATTCACCACTTCAAAGAGAAATTCAAATTACGAACAGACAGTTTTTGTTCTCATCGATCAATCCACTCATCGAATTCTTAAACTTTTAATTAGTAAATATAAATATTTTGCAAACTGCAAACTAGACAGATTATCACTGAATCAAATCATCATAATCATTGCGTAGTAACAATGTCAAGAATTAATATCACCTCAAAATAATCATCAATTTCTAAAACAACACCAACCATCCATCTCAACAAGCAATTGATTCAGCGTATTCTCTTGTTCTGAATGACCTCCCATTCCACCTTTGGCACCTCTCTTACGACCGACCGCATCGATTTCATCTAAACCCAATAGCATTTTATAGCTGTCACGTTACTGTTCTTCCTTTACCGGTCTCCCACGTCAGAGTACAATTTCAACTTAGACAAATTGATGTCAATTCATAAAATTGAGCGACTGTAAGATCAATCTTACTCGTCACGTGTGTGTGCAAAGCAAACAAACGACAATCGAAATAATAACATTCGAACCGTACCTATGAAAAGAATACAAGGTGAGTTCTTTCGTGCCATTGCGAACATATCCCGAACACGCGCCGGACCAACACCCACGAACATCTCCAGAAATTCTGAACCACTTACGGTGATGAATGGAACGTTCGCTTCGCCAGCCGTTGCTTTTGCCAGCAAAGTTTTACCAGTTCCTGGTGGACCAGTCAGTATCGCACCCTACAACGAAGATTATCGCAAAACTCAATCAGTTCATCCATTCAATCGTGGCAACCTCACAAATTTATCGTAAAAATTATTATTATTGTTCAAATGAATAATCCATGTTTATTCTAAACTCAAACATGAGAATGAACGAATCACAAGAAGAGTTAGACTTCATCGTAAAAATATCATTGCGCACTCAATAAACGTTTCGTGTTCTACACTTTCTAATCGTTAGTCACAATGATACTGAACCATAATCTCTATGCATTATACTCCACCATGGAACCCAAAAAGAAACGTAATTTTCGAAGAAATCAACCTTCGGAATTTTTGCACCAAGATTTTTGTATTGCTGTGGATTTTTGAGGAAGTTAACAAATTCCATGATTTCGATTTTTGCTTCTTCACATCCGGCAACGTCCTTAAATGCCACTTTGATATCGTCCTTATTTATCAGTCTGGCTGTGCTTTGTCCGAATCCTCCGAACATACCACCCAATCCACCTGCACCTCCACGCCCAGCCGCACCTATATCAATCCGATTGCCAAACACCACCCATTTTTGGAATGAGCAAAGTTTTTTTCTTTCATTTGAAACTTATAAAAGAACTTCGTTTGAAACATCACGTCAACAAATTCATAAAAATTCTTGAAAAAGTATGTCAACGAAAATCAAAATGATGAGGAAAAGAAATCAATTCTTCATGAGAAACTAAACAGATGAGTCGACGAAACAAATAAATGAAAACAAACCTGAAGCGCCTCCTCCGCGAAACATTGTTCGGAATATCCAGTAAGCGAACAATAACGGCACCGCTGTACTTATTATTGTAGGTAGTTCTCGTTTGCTAAATCAATGAATGAAAATTTACTGAAGAAAAGAAAAGTTGACCAATTGATGACAAATGGATGCATAGATAACAATCGAAGTTGTTTTTCGAAGGAATGCTCGCTAATGCCTCGTTTAAAAAAAGATCATGCAGCAAATATGAATTTTTCCATTCAAAAATCATGAATTTATGAAAGGAATAAGCAAAATTAACGATTGGATAACCATAATTAAACAGTCGATCAATTCAATCGAACACAAGTCATGAATAAAAAGTGTGATTATGATACTTACAGATCAAATTCAGATTTGTACAAAACAGGAATCTGTTTTTCGGCATCAATACCCAAATGATGTTGTGCTGCAGCTAGAGATCGTTCGAAACTATCAACGCTTCCGATATTGAAATAATGAGTCACCTAAAACATAAGAACTGCTTGAGGAAATTTTGCATAATCAATTCAAAAATCATAACGGAATGAATTATCATAATCCAGTTCAATAATATGATGCTGGAATTATACTTAACGTGAAAGTTGGAAAGGGAGAGAAAACAACAGAGTTAAGTGACCTACACCGGTACTACTTCCTGAAGTCGGTACTACACGAACCCAACGTTTGTCAACGACTTCTAGTCTTTCAACCTAAACAAATAACATCTGTTCATAAGTTTCAGTGAAACTAAATACTTATAACCATGATGAAATGATCTGCTTTGTAATAAGCACAAAAACGTACAATGCCTTTCTCCAAGAAGTTCGAGAAGAATTCTTTCCATGATATCTCCTTATATGAAGTGTACTCGAGCAGCATATATATTCCCAACATCGCCACCACACTTACCACTATTTGTTGCCAATTGGTGGGTCTGAACACTAGCATTATCAGATATTATCGATCTCTATTTCTAACTTGACTATAAATAACGACGTGGATTACTTCGCACATAGTGCAGCAATTCCTCTATAGTATCCAATGAGCGAATGCAATACAATATTTGAGGGGTTACTCTATTTCATCGCGTTCTGTTATTGAATTCAAACGACAAGCAAACTTGCAGTGGGTCAATTGATAACGCTAATGCTAATGCATTTGTACTCGGCAAATGTTATCTCTGATTTATTCGTTTGGAGAAAAATAGCGATAAAAAACACTCACAAATTAAAAGAACCTCCACCCGATCCGCCACCACTTGAACCACCACCTTCGGAACTTGCTTTTTTATTTGCATTAGCCGCTGAAAGTGGGAAATTTCAAAAATAATTGAATAATTAGCGAATAAAACAATGAGTAAGATATGGCCATTAAAATTCAGTTTGCTGAAGAAATCATTCGTTTCAAGAAAGAGTATTCATCAAACTGTACCAGACTTTCTCGGAATTAAAAGAACTGAATACTGAGTGCTCACGTTCACTGCTGCTCTTCTCAGTAGATTTGCCTTTGCTTGAGGAATCTTCAAAGAACTTTTTGAAGCCTTTCGGTCCTTCTGATGCATATAGAATACGCAACCTTTGTAAGACATGTTCCAACTTTTCATGTAGTGTCCAATTACATTGTAGTAACTTTTCAACTTCAGATGACGTGAGTAGTGACGCTTGCTAAATACCAAACATTCTTAGAACGCAATTTCATTTCACTTCAATAAGTTACTAGCTCTCCAATTAGTACTTGCAAAATTCCAACCATTTTTCCATCCCGAGATCTAGGGTGTTCAATACATTATCTTTGAATCAATGCACTCATAATTATTTGGAAAATAATTTATTAAACAAATCATAAAGGTAATTCTGGATATAATATGAAGCCTCTACATTAGTGAACCTGAACGAACTGTAAATGGTTAATGTCTGAATCGGGAAGTCAACATGATATCATTATTTTTAAGATTTTTAAAAAGATGCCGTATCTTAGCAAGTCTCGAAATCTCGGGATTTTTCAAAGTGTAGATCCCGGGATCGATGTAGGAATTGAAAAGTCGGAACCCCGCAAACACTACTCTCATATTTAAGATTGATCGAATTTCCTGTATGAAAACACTAGAAACCCTCAAAAATGACTATAAAAGAGGAATTCAAAAAACATTCACAAGCATCACTTTGCTCTACTTCTTCCTTTAGGACGAACATTCTAGTATGACGGATTCTTACAATAAAGTGACGCAAAAAACAAGACGATTTTTGAAAGGTCGCTCGATGTTGCTTACATATAAAATGTCATATTGCACTTGGATTTGGGATGACTCTTCAATAAATTGAGCGTTTCTCCTGGCCGCATCATTTATTTTTCGAGCTTTTCAAGCACTCGCTAAAAATGATTCATCACATCGCAAGAAATCTTCTTGCAAAATTTCGCAGCAAACAAATCACTTCTCGAGTTGCGCTAGCTTCTCGAAAAATTCACCAAGAGGCACCAAACGCTTATTCCCGTGGAGAGTTTTTTCTAGTTGTGTGTGTTTTTTTAAACATATTTTCGCTGGAATTTCACAACGGTTGTTCCCATCGACAAATATGAATCATTTATACCTCGCATACCAACAATCGGAAATAAAAATCTAAAATCACGAACAACGCCCGGTGGCAATAAGCGTTTGCTGTCACGCTGAAAAGTTTGAGCAGCTCGGGAAGTGGCTCGGTTGCTGCGGAATTAAAAAAGTAGATTTTCTGAGATACAATGATTCATTTAATCTGCTTGTTCAAATGTGAGAGAAAAAATTTCGAAAAAGTCGAGCGACAAAAAGGAAGTCTCAATTTATTACTGTGCTGAAAAGTTTCATCGCTTTGCGCCAAATTCAGGCGCAGCATTTTTGGATTGACATTTTACATGAATTGGCTCCTAATCATCATGAACCAGAATCAACGGTATCACCCTTCCATGCATATTCAATTATGTGGAAGTGGATCCACAAAGAAACGTTCGATAAAGAAGGTATACAGATAAACAAGAGCGTGTGATCACATCTCCAATTAAACGAAATCCGAAAGGGATTTAAACATACCTGATTAAAGACAAAACTTTTACATGATAAAGAAGCAATCGGAATTAGCTGACAATTACGCCTGTGTAGTATTCGTGATAAGCAGCAAAACGTTTTGCACGCTAAACGTCGTTCCACATGTAGCATCTGCAATCAGAATCTCGACCATTTCAGGATACGACTTCAAATTATACTGCGTCATTGATTTACCGTTGCAAATGAATCAACATTCAACCCATACGAGCTACCCTAGCAAACTGCTATGCTAAAACCGAGTCATGGCAAATAAAAAGATCAATTTAAATTCAGATGGCGTTAATCAGAGTAAGGTATGGCGATGGATTTCATTTGAGGTCGAGCTCAGCCGAGGCTCATACTCGGGCCGGGGTATTTATTAAACAAATAGGTAGTTCCATCATACTCGGGTGAGACATCTCGATACGAACCTGAGCCTAAGCTTACATCCAAATGCAATCCTTCACCATACCTCCCTCTAACCATCACTACTTCTAAAATTTGAATTCATTTCGAGTCAACTTTGAATTACGTCAATTGCAGGGATAGTGTTAAATGCCATTCAAAATTTTCATCTTCTCATGCTTCATTCTCAAAGGCGAATTGGAAGCTAAAAAAGAACGTGATACAGTATTTGCAAAATTTACGTCCGCGAAAATTGCAAATTTGCATATTGAACAAAATTGCTCCTTAACATAAGATGATGAAATGATAAGCTGACGGTTCGCCAAGTACAAACGGAGTGACAGTTCGCTAAGTGACGGAACTCTCACTTTTACTTGATAGGTGTTAAGAAATGTGAATTTCTTAAACATTTAACGAGGACAGTTCCGGACAGTTTATGTATCGTTTTGTAGTGCACATCCAACAGAATAAAACCTGATGTGTGAGTACATAGCAGTAAGGATGTTAGATAGCAAAGATAGCGATTTGACTTTCGTTTTGTGTTATTGCTTGTGCACATTTTTTACACTCAGCAATAAAACTTATCTATCTATAGTCTAGATTTTCTATTTGGCTTGAAGTACAAAATTCAAGAAATAGTTGAAAGTGTTACCCAACGGACAGGGAGAATTCATATCCAAAATATATACCGTCTTGTAGCTGATATTGAGTACCCTAGAAAAACGTAATGAACTTTGACCGTATCAGTCACACGTTAATTAGTCACATTTTAAGTTTCTAGAGTTATGGTACTTAGCGTGATCAGTGATGATATTCAGTGGTCTGATCTCTTTAACGCTCGAATACAACAGATCGTAGTAAATATATCGAGTAATACGCGTGTTATACCACACGCACACACAAAATGGTGAGCATTGCTCAGAAAGCGAACCTAAACGAAGTTTGTGTGACCAACTGCGTGCTGGACAAATGTCGTGCGTGCAATTGTCGCTGGTGCATTTGTGGGTCATCCATCGAGACTAATGTAAATGAAGCGGTTCTCGGTAGACCATAAAATTCTCACTCTGATTCTCTAACTATTCTCGTAATATGCTTCACTTGCATTGATCATTGTGTGAACGAAGTAGAGGTGCTGGATAATTGCAACTTGGATGATTGCATCCCGACTGTCTGTTTGCCGTTAGTCGTTTCGGTTCGCTTGTGACTGCTTGTTCACCGTTGTATGTATATCGTTTCCGCTTAGGCTTAGACCACATGCTACACATTACGCACACACAATGGTGAACAACCAGTCACACTGCTCAAAAAGCGAACCGAAACGAATAACGGCGAACGGACAGTCGGGATGCAATCATCCGAGTTGCAATTATCCCAGACTCACGAAGAAGATGTATTCCTCACGTACACATGCAACGTTTTGTTATGTGAAATTAGTTTGCACAGTAACGTGGTTCATGTATGCAGGATAAAGACCCGCTTTATTGCGATACTTCCCAGGATTCACGTTAATTAGTCGCATGTTCAACCGATCACTCAAGAGAGTTAAATGTGTGATCCGTATTGTTCAATATTCCTGTTGTGCCCATGCACTGTAATCAATTTCTTTAGCATTTGCAGTGGCTGTTATTAACTCACATTGATTTGGTATTTTAGGTGCAATGAGCACTAAATACAAACAAGAGATGCCGCCAGCTGGTGGCTATCGAAAATTCAACTGGAATCGGACGTTCCCCAAGGTGTTCTGGAGACGTATGTTGCTCCTTTGTTTAACCCTTGTCATGTCCACTGTTTTTAAAATGTTAATGCAACAAAATGAAGTCAAAGTGCACTAAATTCAACACATCAAAATGTTTTATTTACAGCTGGTGTAGTTGTGGGCGTTGTATTTGGCACGTCAGTTTACGGCGTCTTTCAAGCTTTCGCTAACAAAAAGCATCTGATGTATGTTCCCCGTTAGGTTACAATCAGACAAATATTAATGTTCTTCATAATAGTGTCCGATAGTTTTTGTAACATTCAGTTCGGAATGGTTGATCTGCTTTTCTTCAAGTCCCTAAGTCTCATTTCAAAGGTTTTAAACCACGACTCAGCAGTCGTCCTTAAATGAAGTTGGTTACCTTCTTGCTCAACCTTGGAACCGTGTCGTGATCAACAGTATATAATATAAAATGCTGGAGTTAGTCCTAATAGTTCGGAAGTACGTTGCAAAATTTGCGTTTTTGTCATGGAAAGCCTCCATGTGCTTACGAACAATGATTTAAGGACTGAGAAATTCGAAGACGTTGACATTCAAGCTGCGATGGAGCCGTTCCTAACAGCTGAAAGAGATCGATAGTGAGTTGTTTCATTCAGTCTGAGCGTTTAGCGAAGGATTTTTCATGACTGCATTTATTTAGTTGCTCATTCAGGATTAATGTGTTAGATTTCAACAATTTCCTGTTTCGTTGAGTGCGTGTTATTGAAATCTTAAGCAGTGTATTCAGGATGCATAACATGACAATTAAATGAACCAGACAAAGGTTTTTTTCAGCTGGCTTCGACTGCTGAAAAAAAACCGAGATCTTGAAAACGAAGTGATGAAGGATGTTCCAGGTTGGAAAACTGGCACATGGTACGGTGAGCCAGTATATTTCACACTGGGTGACAAATGGTGGGATCCGGGAATGAATGTAAGTTCTGATTGATTGATCATTCGTGTATTTTCTTCATATCACATTCGTTTGCAAATCAGATAAAGTGTACGCTCGTAATCTTACGGAGACGACGAGAAGTAGGCAAGAACTCATAAGTAACATGCGGAGAATGAAACAAGATTAAGTGTTTGAATTTTATAATCCGTCATGTCTTTATACCCGAGAGCAAGAGGAATATACTGGTAGAGTGAGCAGTAGAAATCAAATATATCAATGTCTGGTTTATCATTCCAAGACTGGGAAACACCGGCTTAAGTGCGCTTTGGCGGCTTCTGTTCAACAGTACAGTGATATCACCTGAAACGTGAACAATTATATTCTATTCCGTGAGCAAAAAACATTCCGCCCAAATTTGCAGGAAGTGTTCGCACATTCCGAGCGTCATACTTTAATGAAGGAACATCTGTGGCGTCATCACTCAGAATATGCAGCGCCCAAATTTTACGACCGCTGGATTCCGAAATTCATCGATAAATATACGTGGTAGTTGTTTTTACGCGATGTGAAATATTACACATGTTTAGTTTAATTCTGTATTGAAGACGAATAAATAAACTATTTCAGTCATGCTCATGGTTTTTTTTTAACATCGCTACGGAGCAGAACAAATGTGAAAGAAGAAGCATCATTTTAAAGAAATTACTTTACTTCTTCATCGAAAGCGAGTAGCCACCATCGGGTTTTTCTTCTAATTTGAAATTATCCGTTGTTAAACCAAACGGCCTTAGGCACATGTTACCCAAATCTTTCAGCTTCGCTAGCACGTCCTGTTTGAAGTACAGCAATTAATTCAGTCAAAACTTGAATTATAAAGAACGATAAAAATGTATTGCATTACAGCCAAAAAACAACAGTGTATTTGAACAGAACGAAGAAATAAGCACACCTCTTTAACACGTTCGTTGCGTTCATTAATGGCGTGTTGTAGGTCAAGTATTTTTTGGGCGTAAACTGCTTTCTTTGAACTATTTTTCATCAGCTGCTCGTAATCTTTTATGGCATTCTCATAACCTTGCTCTGTCTGAGCGTAGCAGTAAGCACGTCTTTCCAACGGCTTGTCATTCTTGGCACCTGAGAACATTCGCATAATTCTTCTAGTGAACAGACAGATGATATTAATTTCTGTCGCACACTATGATAGCTTAACACTGATCGTCAAATTACATGTCCGCTCTTCCCAGTTGTGAAACGAGCACTGAATGCATCTCAATAAAATAATTTGGAATCGTGTTAGTTGACCAACCTAATTCAATGGCTTCCGTGCAATCTTCAATAGCTACATCCCATTTAGCTAACTTCATATAACACGCCGCTCGGTTGCTTAAATATATCGATCTGGAATGAGTGAGCGATCAACGAATGTGAATACATTTCAGGAAGTGATTTCCTGTAGTTTTTGAATATGGATTTATTTCATTCATAGTTCATTCAATACGAGAGGTTCCTGTTTCCCCCTCAACCTGAAACAAATTTCATACCTCTCAGAACTGTAAACGAACGGACAATGATCGAGCGCTTTCGTATAAAGAGCAGCTGCTTCTTCCCAACTGCCCTCACCGAACCGTTGATTACCCTTGGTTATTCAAAAATTATTCATCGTTGTATGCGAAATTCAAACAAAGAAAATAACTGAAGATAACATCAAAAATAATATGTTCGGAACCATTACAGATGACTGATTTTTAGAAAGAGCATTCCTGTAATACTACACCAAAAGGTTTTCAATCAGCAGGAACGAATCAAAAATTTTAAATATTCAATGTTTACATGGTTATGCCAGTTTTAAGTCGCATTTATTTCTATAGAAATATTTTGAACCGAACAAAAACAATTGCTTGCGCGCAAAAACACTTATACAAGGAAATTTAACACTATTAGTTCTGCATGAAGATAACTTTTAAAATGAATTACTTATGAATGCAATGAACTGCGAATTCAAAAACCTGATTTTTAATTTCGTTCGACTGATCCCGTCGTTCAGTTCTCTCTTCCTCACTCAAAGCATTTTCACGTTCAATCCTCTCAAGCTTTAAGATCTCCTTATCATTATCGTTCTTTTTCTCTTCAGCAGTTCCTTTGTCCTCTTCACTTTCTGTTATCGTCTCTCCATTACCGTATTCAGATTCGACTACTGCATTCGAATATTCCGCCTTATCAATGGCATTGGCATTTGATTCATTCGTTGCATCGATGGTTTTATCAGAATTCATTTTTTGGTAATCCTCGAGCCGTATAGTCTTGGTTTTCTATCTTTCACCTCAAAAAATGCTTTATTTTTATCAGTGCAAACATGCGATCTGTTCGTCGAAAAATCTCTAAATTTTGAAGAACTGTAAAAAACAAATACGAATCCGGATACGAGTACCCGTTAGTAGATGACTGCAAGATATCACGGAAGAATTCAAAAATTTTATTCAAAAATAAACATGATCAGCATACACCGAAATAAATAGGATTCTATCAAAATTAAAAGATCAGAAGAGCACACTGTTTACTGATACAACATCAGGTTATTTCTAACTTTATGAAAGAGTCACATAAGACCAGAAGATGTATCTGATATGAGGCATTCTGATGCACCAAATATTTTAGCAATCAACTATGGTTATCCTTCCATTAGAGTAATAACCAGAAACATTTGATAGCAATGATCAGTGAATCAAAATAAAACAAAAAAATCATGCAATTCCATCACAAGGAAACACTTTCCATAAAATTTTATAAATCTGAAACAAACGTGTTCAACCATTCAGTTTGTACTGAGCAAGTATTTCCTTGGCCTGTTTCAATGCAACTGTGCGAATATTGCTTTCTTTTAAAAACTGTTGCTTATCACAGTCATACAAAGCAGTTCTTAATTTATCAAAACAATCTGCTACATTCAGTTGTTCGGATCGTGTCCGTCTTGATACGATTATCAAGTCACCTTCACTGCAAATACAACATGAAAAAAAGTTAATAGTGAAAACGGGGACTTAACATTGGCAATGGCGAACTATAATAATAAACGGCTACTGCTTCCGAAGGTGATGAAAATGAACACATCGAATATACAGTTTAAATTCTTTCAGTCATTCAGAACAGTCGTACCCATCTAACAATTAATAATGGTCTCCTTTAGCACAATTGAATTGAAAGCAAACTCACGCATTAATTCGGTAAGCATATCTTTCCACGATTTTTTTCTTCAACTCTTGATGGAGCCACTCCGCTTCATCGACGTTAAATTTGAGCTCAACCTGAGGTATTCCGCAATCACCATCAAATGTGACTGATTTGGTAAATTTTTCAAATGGTATATATCCATTGAAATAACTCGTTGAAGATGATGATGCAATAAATCTGGCTGCGTTTCGCACTGAACACAGTCTGGACGACCGCATTTCTTGGTCACCTTCAAGCCGACCGACACTGCTAAATATATTAGTTATAAAGGAATGGAAAATGCCAGTTAACTTTTGAATCCGAGATTTTGGCGAAATGATGTAGCAGGAGGAAAATTCGTCTTCTGCCACAAAGATGCTAGTTTGTCTGTGCCCTAGCCTGGCAATAAAAAGAGAAATTTTCGTTGCTGATGTTATTTTCAAAATGTCAAGTCCATTTTATTACTAGTGTCTGAAGGTATACATATAGTTTGAAGAGTACAAGAAACTGCGTCAGAATTAACTCGTATATTTGTTAAATTTTTGAAGTAACTGCGTCTCCGAATTGGGTGTCGGAATCAAGTGAGGTTTAGGGGCTGATGCAGGAGCAGATTACGGCATATTGGAACAAGTCTTCACGGAAATGAGGATGGAAGTCTTTTCGAGAATTAGAAGCCTTATCAGAATGCATTTTGAGTTTGCGAGCTAAGATGAGTTTCTTTCAAGAAGTGATGCATCTGAACAAGGGATGCCACAGAACCAAGTTAACGTACAACGTGTCAAGTTTCGATTAACGCTCGCACGACGAATGCGACTGAGATGCGCGATGCCAACTTCCAATCTTCCATAACATGATGGTCATTTCAGTACACTGTATCTGCACTGCTCAATGTATACAATAGGGTAATGTTATCAGGATCAACATCTTCAAACTGGCCTTCTCATCAGCTATCCCAGAAGCGTGATCATTTTCCAGGCTCTCTAGTTTCGGTTAAGCATATATGTTGTTGGGCGATTTTGCTTACTTCAATTAACAATGACGATTTCGAAATTTCCAAACTTCGGACCAATTTCGGAAGTTTTTCTCAAAATATGACCCCACTGTCTACGACTTTAATGTGAAGCATTGGAGTCTTTGACACCATTGGTTACTTTGGAAGAAATGGTAAAAATTTTTTTCGAAATTTCCAAATTTCGGAACAAGGATAGTTACCCTACTAATATACTGCACTCTGATGATAACCTTTGTGAGTTAAGGTCATACAATGAGACGACTGTTTTCAAGTTCATTGATGACGCATCACATCGAAGTGTTTCCGAACTCTGTAGAGATAGCCTGTTGAAGGTAACCGACGACAAAGTGGTGATATTCAGAGCGTAATATCGCGATGAATTATGTTTGGGCTGAAGCTTACACCTTCAGGCCGAGTTGTCATTGAACAGACAGGTGTTTTGAGATACGAGAGTGAGGTAGGTATCTATTAAACAAATAGATGCTTGAAGCCCAAATGTAATGCACCGCTAAATTCGGCTGTGATTATCGCCACGACATTCATTGCTTCGTTCAGTAAACAGTACTTGATATATATTTGATGTTTCATTTACCTTTAATCGTTCCTCTGAACTATCTTCACTACTATTAAATTCACAGAAACTCACAATTTCCTGCCGAACATCCTCTGCACTATTGTTTCGGGTATAATGAAGCCAGAGAGAAGCCAGGTGGAAGTGCGTATGAGATTTGCATACTAAGTATTTGTTATGCTGATCATAGCAAGATGAATACCAACATCCAAACCTGCGAATATCGTTTCTGGATTAACATTTTATTGGTTCAGAAATTATACGACCGAGTCGCTTGATATCGCTCTCACTGCATGATAATGTATATGTTTTTCTTCTCTTTCCTCTCTTTTTTTTTCAAACTTTCTCACCCCCTCCGCAGCATTTGAGTCAGTGTATTGGCCATACTATAATCTTAGCACTGAACATTACGGCACATATTACCATGTCATTGAATGTTATTCATATCCTTTTCTGGCGAGAACAGGAATGAAGCAAAAATCATTGCACTGTCACGTGAATATTGTTCAAAAGGTGAATAAAAATATTATTAATGAACATTTCCATAGCAAAACATGTTCATTTATACTTACGATAGAAGTAAGCATGTTTTGTGTTAAGTTGTAATTGTTGATAGACTTAAGATCCATTCCATCTCAGCACAAAGCTTTCGGTTCCAGTTGTCATCGTTAACGTTTGATAGACGAAAACTTACAAATGTTTAGTTAAGATCTTAATATCTGGCAATCATTTGTCAGCAATCACCAGAGGTAGTTAGGAACGGGTTCTTGAAGAACGTTCTGCTGAATGTTTAGTTTTTGCTGTTTATGATCACCGGCAGATTTTCGGCTTTGATTAATGCTGTTCGATGGAATTGTTCATGAAAGATTGCTTGGAATAAGTTTTTAGATAATACAATCTAAGAATCACTTTAAGAATTCGTGGCAATATCATAGTTGAAATCACATAAATACCGTCATAAGATTTCGGATCATTTGCGCGGTGTGTGATGTAACTGTCAGGTTTTGTTCACCTTTTTTATGAAATGAACCTTCACAAGAAGAAATAGATGAACACTTCCGTTAAATTTCTGGAGCTGGAAACATAAAATGTTCATTATAAAGAAATTGAAAAGTTCACTTTTATTAATCTTAATGCTTCTTGTTTGCTATCAAAAGGGATTTTCGTACATTCATAAGCTTTCGTCTTCACTTCAGTTCACATCATCCGAAGCAATCGGTGTGTAAAAATTGAACCAAAGAAGCAGTAATGCGATAGAAAAAACATCTCAGCAGCAAAAAACCACAAATTTCTCTCGACCGGTTTTCGTGAAATTTTAAACTGAAAATTAATCTTTTTTTGGATCACAGAACAAACCATACACTCTCGAATACGTGATCATCCCTTTGAGCAGATCTTCCGTTGAATCAGAGCCCACTCTCAACGACATATTGAGATTATTGCATCAGATTACCATGGCGGCATACTTGTTGATTGTTTGTGTAAACCCTTCTTCAGATTTACATCAAGTATCAGACTTCCTCTTTTTCAGATTTATACAAATAATAAATATCTCTCAACTGAAGTCTTCAATTCTGATTTAATCGGCTATACACCAATCCGGAGTATGTTTTCAACGTGAAGAAGAAATGTATATAAACTCAGAGCTTTCAATGGCTTATCCCGTTAGTGATCAAAATAAACCGCTACATGAATTTTGCTGCGTACGTCAAGTAATATAAGCATATTTTCTAGCTGCGTACCCCCGTTCGGAATAAAAATCATCAAGCAAACAATGACTTATAAAAATGCTTATCAAGATGTTTTGCAATGTGTAAATCAAAGCTTGAACGTACAAATTGTGTTCGTGTAAATTTTTTTAAAAATCGGACGCAAAGTTGAGCACTGTTTATAGAAATTTGAACTTGGCAATGATAAACAATAAAAATTGAAAATAAAAGCAAACGATGAGCAGCACACCACAAAAACAAAAACAACCATTTTTACAGTAACAACTCTGCGTGATAATCAATGCATTATACAGTTTTTTTGTACATTTTATAATACATTTATTTATAAGTAAATCAAATCAAAATACATGAACGGATAAAAGCATAAATAATTCAGAGCTGATCGGTAAAGAATCGTAAAGATTGCTTCAAAATAAGCACTTATTACTGATGAATGTTTGATGTGCTCATGTTTTTCGGAAGGAAACATTTAATTAAAATGAAATATGCAGCCGTATCAAAACAATCGTTAAATCTTCTTTAGTCGTCAACAGGTCACTCAATATGCAGATACTGGAAATGAATGTATGCGCATATAGGAGAGAAACCAAAGTCATTTTTCGCAAAAAATTTTTGAGCCGTAATATATTTTTGTAACTAACATAGATCGTTACACAATAGGTGACTTAATCAAGAATTTCGGATTTAACACGGAAATATACTTACATAATTTTCGTGGGCAAATATTGAATTTAAATAGCAAAATTGAAATGAAAAATCGAAAAAGATAATATTGTGGATGGTGCGTCAATCACAGTCAGAGCATACCGCTGAGGTGTGTCGATCAAAAAGAAATAAAATTTTAAAGGAATGTAAATTTTAAACATGACCACCCCAAATAATCTAATGAATTTCATCAGCTTACGATAATCTGCAAATTTTGCCCACATAACTGAATCCCATTCCATCTCATTTCAACACCAATGAACTGCGATCAGAATTTGATTTTGAAACAGGATTGACTTAGTGCAAGGGGACAGACCGACAGAACGACGTGTCCCTCCATCTTGATCCACCGTATGATCGGAAGTAGACGCCTTCCTCGATCAGTCCACGCTTCACATTGCAACGTCAATCACAATCACAACAATCGTCGGAATGACCGTTGAATCTGCTTGCGATGATACGAAATCAGAAACATGTCACTACGATTGGTTACTACGAACAATCATCTATTGAAACCTTGTCTAATTTAGTGATTGACACATCATCAACTATGAAGTGATTTTTTTGGATACAAAACAATAAACGCATTATTGATGGTAGCAGAAGGTATGACAATATCAATTCTACTCACAAACTGATCAGCAAGGGATACAGATCAATGCGCTGAGATAGATCTATTAGCCTACAAAGAGACGAAACATTTGATTCTTGTACTAATTAACTATTCGAGGTGATATTTGTTGTCTAGAAAAATGATGTATTGTATTGCACAGCTTATATTTCGGAATGACATTACAACAATATACTTCTAAAGAACGACAAACTACTATGAGTTCGGAAAGAAACTTCACTTCAAATCCCTTTAAAAATAGATCGCAATAAAAAGATTCTACCAGAAGAATGCAATACGAAATCAAAACAGATCAATGCGCATGATGATAGTGAAACTTAACAAACCTCGTTCACAATACATTCAAAACAACGATTTACACAAGTATATAACAAATAACTCCAATAAAAACAGAAATAAATTAACAACTAATTTTCAACAAACTTTAAGCAATCAATAAAATCACACCGCATTTTGCGAATTAACGCGTTACGCCTTCGTTCAGTCATCTCGCGTTAGCCTACCGTATGGCTGGTGGAGAATCAAGGGAACCATCGTAACGTGTTCAATTCAAGCATTTAATGCCGTTGAATTGCTATGTTGAACAGAAA